TTTTCTGAATCTATCCTAAAGTGTAAATTGATATTTGACTTTTTGGCTTTTTATAGATTTTATATTATTTCTATTTTACTGCTATTGTTACTGCCCACTTGGGCTCCATTAGCAACCACAGCTTGCTAGCAATATTTTGGTCGCAGCTATCAGGAAGCTGTTTGTCCCACTTCTATTCCGTATAATTTTACAAAAATTGGGGATTTAATATTTTCTTATGTTACCCATCTTTGGATTAAGAGTAGTGCAATCATAATGCAAGGAGATGTGATGATAATTCAAGCCCTTTCTTGATTCAATCGACGATGAAATGACTTCCAGTCCCTATGATGCAAGTCGCCAAGACGGTGTACGAAGATTATTTAATGTAATCTGCCGGTTCAATTAATGCAATATGAAGCAGCGATGTAATGTACTTAACATTCCTATCAAAAGCGAGTGAAATGTACTGCGATTTTTGAACTCGCAATTACAATTTTATTCGCGGAAATTTGAGCCTGACTAATTTGCGCTGGATATTCTTGGTCATACAGACGGCGAGCCTCAGTATTCTGATGGCAGCCGCTGGAGAAGATGTAACGCAAAGTCAGAACGGCTCAAATTTAGGACTCACTGGTGCTCGAGCGTGTGGGCAGCAGCTCTTTTTAATTTCAAAATAAAATTAAGTGCCTAATTTGACTTTGATGAATTTGGCTCGTCTTCAGGACTGCCATTTTCCCAGTTTGTAAGTCTGCCCTGTCATCCTCGTTTGAGACGCTAATGGCCAAAGAGGGCGGACGTTCTCAAAATGCATGACATTTCGCCTGGGAAGGGCATACACGATCAACTCACGACTGAACAGAGGCAAAACAATCACTCAAACACTGGGGCCGGCATAGCCAACAGCGCGAGCCATGGACTCGGCTTTCTCACGTCGCTACCGGCTACTTCATCATCGCCCTCATAGCCAACATCACTATGATCATCACCCTCACCAGCATAAGCACACTAACCATTAACCCTACCATCGTCATGCATCGTCTATATCATCAGAATAATTCTCTTCCTCACTTCAAACACAACCATCATCACCATAAGCAACACCAACTCTATCATTATCCTCATATATCGCCATCACCATAATCATAAACACCACTATAGCCAATAATATCACTGTCACATTCATCCACATCAACATTATCAGCATTATCAGCATTCTCACCAACATCACCATTCCCATAGAAATTGCCATCACTATAGCAATTCTTATCATCACCATCATCATCAGTATCATAAGCAAAACCATCACCATCGCCATTACCAAAAACAATATCATCACCAACGCACACACTCTCCACTCCTTCACTATAAACAGCAATATCAAAAGCGCCATCGATATAAAGATCACCATAACTAACATGACTATATCTATCATCATCCCAACCACTACCAAAAAGATCATCATTATCCTCCAATACATCATAGTTTCTACCACCGTTACTTTATAAATACGAGTGATGTTACACTCACTCAAATCAGTTAAGCATAGCCTCTGATAGTGTGACGAGATTAAGCTTCATCGGGAGCCTCACGCTCATTATGGCCATGTATCTTTTGGAGTTGATTATGACGCCTGACAGAAAAGACGTCTGCACCCAGAGCTGTGGGACAATGGGAAATGCGTTCCCCCATTCAAGAAGGCTGTTTAGACAAATGGTTTGCATAACTAATACGTTCCTAGTGGAGTATTTTGGCTTGAAGGCAACAATCTCTTATTAATGAAATGAATAGATCTGAATCTGTTCTGTACCACCAAAAATTATGGATGTGGACTTGTCAGTCAAGTCAGCACGTTTTTCGTACCGAGGAGATTTCTGACCAATCGGATTAAAAGATGCAATATTAATAGTAATCTGTACTGTCGAAGGTGAATAAAAAAAAATAAAAAATTTCTTGCTAAAGAAGCAGGATAAGGATAGTCATAACTATAGAAGGTTTCAGTAAATCTCCTGAGATAATATTGTTGGGGAGAACTTCATTTCGTCTGAAAGTGCATGAATAAGAGAT